TTCTATGAAAACAATTTGTACACTGCGATGATCCTCCGCGATCTTCTTGATGACAAAAACAATTTGACGGCGTTTAGTGAGTTGGGAGGCATTCAATTTCTTTTAAAGCAGCTATGTTTTTATTCCAAGGAAGAACCAAAATCTTTGGAAGAAAGGGAGTTTGTAAGAAATTTATTTGCTTGTATGGAGATTTCATTAAGTTGCAAAAATAATAAGTTTCGTTTCTACAAGGCTGCGGGAATTCATATTATGCAGCTTTTAGCCAGAAAAAATATTTATGCAAGACGTAATGCCCTGAAAATTATTGATTTGGCTATGTACGGTAGATATGGAAAGTTTAACTGTAAGAAATTTTCCGATCCCTTTGGATTAGGTATTATTTTTCCTTTATTTATGGAAACTCCAAGTAATATGTTTAATAATATCTATATCGATGACAATGATCTTGAGTTCCACATTTGTTCTATTATTCAGTCCATAATGTGTGCAAACAGAGATAACAACATGAGGATCATAAATAAGTTTACAGAAAATAATATGGAAAAAACTAACCGGTTACTGGAACTGCACAAAAAATATATTTTTAAAGTTACCAGTTATCACAATGTAGTAAAAATTGATAATGAAAGTGAGGCATCAGAAAATAATATAGTCATTTGTAAGAAAATTAGGAACGAGGGCTTAAATACATTACAAATCATAGATTTAATTATTTTGGAGCTGTGTATTACTGGTCCACCAGAAATTAGAAAAAGGGTGGAAGAAATTTTAAAAAGCCAAAATCTCTCAATTGACGGAATTAAAACCATCGTGGAGTATTTTATAAAATTTTTGGAACGGAATGATGAAGAAATTTATCAAGAAAACAAGGATTACTTTAAAAGTTTATTAGAGAAAATATAATTGTATATTTGTTCGTTTTGTAAATATATGTATTAAATTATTTATACTAATATTGTTTAATTTTATTTAAAATGACGTAAAAGTGCATTGTAAATGCAAGTACAATCCTTTTCATTAATTATTTAATAAAAAGTAAAAATAAAAATTAAAGTAAACTTAAAAACTTAACATAAGTGTAGTAAAAATTGATAATGAAAGTGAGGCATCAGAAAATAATATAGTCATTTGTAAGAAAATTAGGAACGAGGGCTTAAATACATTACAAATCATAGATTTAATTATTTTGGAGCTGTGTATTACTGGTCCACCAGAAATTAGAAAAAGGGTGGAAGAAATTTTAAAAAGCCAAAATCTCTCAATTGACGGAATTAAAACCATCGTGGAGTATTTTATAAAATTTTTGGAACGGAATGATGAAGAAATTTATCAAGAAAACAAGGATTACTTTAAAAGTTTATTAGAGAAAATATAATTGTATATTTGTTCGTTTTGTAAATATATGTATTAAATTATTTATACTAATATTGTTTAATTTTATTTAAAATGACGTAAAAGTGCATTGTAAATGCAAGTACAATCCTTTTCATTAATTATTTAATAAAAAGTAAAAATAAAAATTAAAGTAAACTTAAAAACTTAACATAACAAAAAAATATATTAAATATAACAAATTTTGTCTTGGTTTAATATGGTTCTGAAATGTTTGCATAAAAAGGTTCAATGTACTATAACTACATAGTAATGCTAATAAAGCTAACAATAAACTTAAAAGAAAATCTTTAATAATTAAGCAAAAGTAAAAAATACAAATTTGGGAAAAAACCCAAAATAACTAAAGGATAACTAAAAATTACAGGATCAAAAATTTATTCCAAATTTTTAGCGATTTTTTAAATGACTGTATTTTTGTTAAAAATGGCCGTATCAAAGTATAAAAAAAATTAATTTGAAGCTTCAAGTCTCTAATTTTTGGGCCTTAAGTCGAACAATTTTTCCAAGCAACAAGTATCGCGCAATCCTAATGAATATCGTGAAGAAAAATTTTCAATTTTTATGTTTTTTATTTTCTGTTTACGGACTTGCATTATTTTTTTTTAATTAAACCATCATATAAATCGGATAGGTTGTTAATCCAGCCTTAATTTGTTTTTTTTTTGTAGGCCTTGATAGACCATTTCTCGCTATCGGGCTTTAAATGAAAAAGGATCATTTGAATTTGAATTTAAATTTTTTTTGCAACTTTGTGAAAAAAATTCATAACTTTAAATGCCGTTTGGTATAAAAATGTGAAAAAAGTGGAGATATTTTTTTTTCATTTTATTACAGATTATATATATATATATATATATATATATATATATATATATATATATATATATAATTATGTGCGTTTGAGAGTAAAAAAACGTGATTTCATTTTTTCAAAAATTCAATCGAATGAAACAAAAAAACGGCTGGATGGATCGAATTGAAACTTGCTAGTGTTTTTGTGGGCATATTGAATTATAAAAGGCATACTTAACATTAGTCTTTTTTTTAATAATCTCCATTCCGCGTGTGATTTTCCCAAAAACCTCCAAACCCCATTTTTTCACGATTTTTCAAAATCATGTTACGAATGGAAAAGTATTGTTTTGAAACAAACATTAGGCGAACCTTGTATGGCATTCATTCAAGTTTCTAAAACCGACCTCCAATTTTTTGTGCGACTATTGGTTTCTGAGATATCGATGATCATAGGAAAAATGATCAATTTTCATTTAAACCCGATAGCTCAGCGAGAAATGGTCGTATCAAGGCCTACAAAAAAAACAAATTAAAGCTGGATAAACAACAAATTTTTCGTCTTAAGGTCCAAAAACACGCGAGTGCGGCTTTCTTTTAAGATCTAAGAAAGCCGCACTTCTTTTTATAAACTCATTATAAACATACAAAAAATTGTTGGCAAATAAATCATTTGGTGGCAATTTTTGTTTGATTTTTTAATGGCCGCAGAAAAGATAAAGGCCCTTAAAAATGGCTGCCCCTTAAACGGCCGCCCCGGGCGGTCGCCCGGTTGCCCGGGTGCTTAAGACGGCCCTGCTGCCCTTACAAGCTAAACCCCCTTATTTGAAAATGTTTAAAAATGGCGGAGTATCGATTTATAATTTCAATTTTTTTGTAATAAAAAATTACATTATTGTTTTTATGTTATTAAACCTTATACGAGTAATTTTTTTTACTTGTATTTGGCTAATTTCCTACACAAAAACATCTTATTTAGCAAATACGGCCATTATCGAATTTACTTAGGTTAATTATCATATTTGGAAGATACTGGTATTTAACGTAGGAAATGCAGCTGTTTATTGAATAAAATAGAAACACGATTTTTTTAAAGTTACTTTAATTAAAAAAATTAACGAGAACCAAAGTGAAATTATCAAATATATGTGTTACTTATAAGTTATAACTAATGGTAACTAAAACACTTATTACGTAGGTACCCTAAAAATACTTTTATTCATCAATAACCTTTTCTGGAAGGTCCTTCCAATTTTTTTTTTCGATTATCTGGCATAATGGAACCTAAAGCTTTAAACAAATTGTCCACTTTTTCTCGTTCAAACCCATTTGGTTCCCTTTTTATGGAAGGTGTTGGCATTTCACCCATATGTTTTTAAGCAAAAAATCAAGTTTTTTCCATTCTTCATCGGAGTTTCATTTGTAGTGAATTTCAAATTAATAATAATAATAATAATAAAGTTTATTTCAAAAATAATGTTTAAAAGTTACAGTAAACAGACAAACAGTAAATAGAAACTAGTCAAAATTTACATAGTAAAATCACTTAAAGCATATGGTTCCATTTCACAAATATAATCATAAAGTTTATTATAAAAAGATATACAAGAATATAAGGGTCCTTTCTCATATAGACAGTCTATGTCGAGGAATATTGTAGTTGGTAACTCTTGTGGATTTTGTTTTAACAATTTGTTAGTTTATTTACTAATGGATATTTTCCTATTTATATATTGTATTTTTTTTCGTGAATAAACTTATTATATATATTAATTTTAAAAATATATGGATTTTATATAAAAACAATACAGATTCATAAATATACCTACACACCATACACAGTCAAAATTCTATTGTTTTTAAAAATTGTTCTACAGGATTCCATATGTTTTAAACCATGACTCTTTTGTGCAACAAACAACAGATTAAAATTTTTACATTTTCCCCAAAAAATAATAACGTATTTTAAAATACTTTGAAAATTGTCAAAATAAATGTTTTTTAAAGTTCTTTGGTCAACGTAACTCCTCAACACAAACATTGTGTAGCATACTTTATTAAGCTTTGTAATCATGTATTTTATATGAGAACACCAGTTTAGATGTTCATCTATATATAAACCTAAAAATTTGTTTTTGGAGTACTCCAATTCATTTCTTTTTACCATTATTTTGGGAATGAAGACCTTAGAATTTTGTTTTTTAATTTTACTAGCCGAATGGAGATTTTTCCATAATTCACTTGCATAGACTTAATCTGAACTTTTCCTTTATTGCTGGATTGTACTGCATTTTTAAAGTCTGCAAAATCATATGTTTTCTTTTGACGCTTTATTGATTCTTCTACTTGGTGATGAAATGAATCTGCAGACATAAAGATATGCTCTGGTTCAAAATAGTTTACATGTATGGTTTCTGCAGATACACTTGTCGAATTTACAATATAAATTAAGAAGCAGAAAAAAGCCCAATATACAGTAACTGCTGTCTAGCCACAAAGTAATATTTCTGACATCCCTATGGTGGAAAAAAAGTCAATTAAACGCACTGATAATGTCTTCTTGATGTCGCCCACTAACGACCTCATGCCACAAAACGGCAAATGAAACAAAGTGTCTAATTTTTCCGACGGGTACAAAACTTTCATTGTAGACTTTTAGGCGATGAGCAAATATTGCTCTTTAAAACATTTCCATCCTGGGCAGCATTATTACTTTCTGAAAGTCAACAGATACGCATATATTATCTTTATCTTCATTAAAGATTTCTTTGTTCAATGCGTATCTTTCACGAGATTCTTTTGCCTTCTTAATATCATCTTTCCAACTGCAGCATATCTCGCAATCTTCGTAAGGACTCAGCTGTGTGTTCTGAGTTATGTATATTATAAGCTTCACATAATTCACATTCTTCGTTTCCTAATTTGGCAAACGATATATTTTTCGATTTAAGGACTTTTCTGTATTTTATCCCAATGTTGTAAGGAACAAAACTTTACAAACACAAACCACTAGCGTCTTTTAAAAAATATGTAAAAGTTTTACTTTTCTTTGAGCCTTGTACTTTTCGCCTTGGTATTTTATTTTCAGTTGAATTCATAACAAACGTTCTTTTTTCTTTCCAGTCCATTTTCCAAAATTCTTGATTTGTCCTTTTTCTATCCTCTTTGATAAAAAAAACTGTGACACTTAAATTTACAATTGGTACAACCTGATCTAACTGTATGTAACGACCTTATTTTATGTTTCTTAATTTCAGCTCTTACACTTTTGGAAAGCTTATATTTTTTTCTTCTTCTTTCTTCACCTTTTTTGTGTGGATTTGAACTGTTTCATCTGGATCTAAAGATAATTTACAAGAAAAAAAATCTTGTTCTTCAATTTCATTTTCTTTTCCTTTAATCTCATTTTCTTTTTTTATATTAATAATCCCGTTTTTTAAGATAATAGGATCAGTGTCATTCTCTTCCATTTCTTTAGTTGCGATAATTTCCATTTGTTCGTTTTCGTTTTCATCATTATTATTATTTCTATCGTCCTCCATACTCTCAATCTCATTCCTTTCCATCTTCTTATTTGAGCTATCTTGAATATTAATACTCTTGTTATATGTTATGAATGCCAGATATTCGCTCTTTCCTCTATTAACTTCTTTTTCAATAAATTTTGAGTGATTAATTTCTGACTTTAAATCTTAAAAAAATTAGACCAAGAAGTTATTGTCTAATATTTATTATTTTTATAACAAATATTACCAGATCCACTGATATTTGTAACGTCCATAGATGTTTCAGTAAGTACATTATTAGATACATTTATCAATTCGTAATCCCCATTTTCCGATTCTAGGTTACCCAAGAAAAGCTCATCTTCTGAAAACACTGGAAGCACTAATTTTTCAATTCTACTTCCGGTATTCCACAAACTCATTTTTATTTGTTTACACTTTATTATTCACCAAAATCAACAATAACTTTGCAAAAAGAATTATTCTTGCATTCTATAAAGGTTGTAAGGTATAATACCTACCTGCCGCGGCATGCCGTGCTAAGCAAAACCCCTGTATGTATTTATATTATAATATAAAGTAATAAAGAACAAAAGATCATTTTCATTGTTAAAACCAATAAAAATTATGTTTTGTCCTTTATTACTTAATATTGCACAATTGGGGGTTTTGCTTAGCACGGCAGTATATGCCAAACTAAAAATTAAAATGTCAAACTGACGTAACAAACTAAAATTAAAATGTAAACAAAGCGCGAAGTAGGCTTAGTCAGCATTCAACACGAATTTCTACGCATAAAGCACGTACTTGAAAACTGCTAAGAAAAATACCCATACGTAATTAAAAATACGGAAAAAGCGCTTAGTAAACTAAAAATACTGGGTTTAGCACTAGTATTTCTTTAATTATTTTCAAATAGTAAGGGTTTAATATTATTCAATTTTATATATTTCTGGTTTAGATACATTGTTTTAACGAAGAAAAAATTGAAATTTAGCATATTTTATTATGCCAAAGCAAAAAATCTCATATTTCAATTTTTTTTCAAATACGGGGGTTTAGCTTATGAGGGCAGCCTATATGGAGGAAATTAAAAATATTTTAATTTTTAAATTAAAAATATTTTAATTTGCACGTTATCATAAAGTCATTCTTGGTATAAAATATGTCACGTATTGCTTAAAATAAAATTCTGCAAAGGATGTCTCGAAAACAATGTATGAAAACCAAATTGGATTATATATGGGTGATTCTACAAAAGTTGGACAACTTGTCAATAGAGTAGGTATTTTAATATTTTTTTGTAAATATTTTAGTATATTACAAAAGATCCAGTTGTAAACCCAATTTTAATGTATTTTTTCAAAAGCACTTTTGTAGAAAAACATAATAAATATTCAAAACATCAGTACCTTGCCGTGTCACAACTCCTGAATCAAATATTTGAGTGATTTTATTTTAAAATATATTTAATTTATCTTAAATTTTTCAATTTCACTACAAACTATAAAACATTAAATAATGTATTTTTCATATTTTATCTTAGATTCGAATAATAGCAATTAAAAAAAAATGATAATCTATGTACTTACTTTTACCCGTCAGTTCTATGTCCAATGTTTAAATTCAAAATTCCTGCGAAATATTGAAGTTTAAACGTTTAAACTCAAGTGGTGGTAAAAAATTACCTACAGAGCCCGCCCTTTGTATATGTGTCATCAGTACCGTGTCGTCAGTTCCATGTTCGATGTTTCGGTTATCTTTTTTTCGCAAACTTCAATTTAAATTCTGCTTGCGCAAAAATTGTTTATTTAATGTCATTATAAACTCATATGAATTTGGTGTGAGTCCCATATCTAATAATTGATAATAATTGAGATATCGGTATTCGGTAGCCGCCACTGATGTGTGCACCATGGTAGGTATTATTTGATTTTAAGATATTTAATGTATAATATGCTCAAGGTTGCAATAAATCTTATATTTTCCAATAAATAATGTATTTAATTAGTACCCTGGCAGAGCTGCAAGCTCTCAGAAAACTTAAATCGTTTTTTTGATTTAAATCGTTTTAATGACTTAAGTCATTTGGTAATAAGTCATTTCTCTAAAACTGACTTAAGACTTAAAATTTAAGTAATTTTCAAAATGATTTGTGACTTAAATATTTTTTTCAAAATATAAAAAACTTAAGTCATTAATAAAAGGCTTAAATCAGTACATACTATTTAAGTCATATAGAAACGATTTAAGTCAAAAAAAGATTTAAGTCTTTATAAAAGTCGGTAAATTATTTAAGTAATTTAAAAAGATTTAAGTCTTTTTAGAAAATATTTAAGTCAGATTTTTCATATATTTTTTTATAAATTTTTAACAGCGGCATTTTCTTTTGAACTGCCAGGGGTTCACGCGGCAGCAGCTCAAAAACTCCTTTAATTTCCTACCTACAATTGCTACCGCTAGTGAATAAAAAAACCGCCGCGGTAAAGTTAGCTTTTTGGAACCGTTTGACGGCTACATTAAAAAATGTCCTGTCTAAAATAAATGAAAAAAAATGCGGATTTATAATTTTGTTATTTTGTTTGCCAACATCGTCGTGTTATGCGTGCGTTAGGTCTAATTTGTTACTTTTATCTATTTTAACAGAGTTTGAATCTATTACCGTTTAGAAGTTACCCATTTATGTATATAAAAAAGTAGCCTCCCTGTATGTACTCTACTAAAAAAGGTGGTTTAAGTTTTTATTTTGATTGTCTACTCAAAAAATGTGTTTTAAGTTTTTATTTTGTTTGTAAGTGTTCTGAAAATAAATCGTTTTAAATTCTTAACATAGTGGTTTATTATCATCTGTATCTACAATAGATTAATAATATCAGTATAATTATTACCATAAAATTATTATTAACATTTAAAAAATCGTTGTATTGACTTAAGGGTAATTATTTTGATTTAAATCACAATTTTTGATTCAAGTCATTTTATTGACTTAACTCTTAGATCTCGATTTAAATAAAAAATATAGACTTAAGTCATAAAAACGACTTACTAAAGGAATTAAGTCATAAGATGACTTAAATCACTTTATATTGATTTAAGAATTTGCGAAAATGACTTGACTTAAAAGAAAATGATTTAATTCAAAGACTTAATACTTAAATCATTTGAACTTTATCTTAGAATTGACTTAAGACTTAAATCATTTTGATTTTAGAATTGACTTAAGACTTAAGATTTAAGTCTTTTTATAACTGACTTGTTGCAGCTCTGTACCCTGGTATACTCGTCACTTCCCTTGCATGCATTCAAATTTAGAAAACAAAGATATTTTGGAAACTGTTTGAAAAAGTGACTGGCCCGGTCTGGAATTATATTATCTAACTCACACTCAACAAAATACTGTAATTTTCTCCAAAAACCATATAAACAAAATGAGGTCAAAAGTTGCCCAACTTTTGTAGATTTACCCATATGACAAAAGAACAATTTTCTTAAGATTATAACTATGGTAGGTAATAGCCTATATTTATGATTAAAAAAAAGCTTCGATTATTCTCCCGGCTCCGTGATCCGTACCAATTCTGGCTGGCAACATAGACAGCGGATGACATTTACAGCAAACGGCATATGTCGTCAGCCGGGAATTTATTATTATGGTATAGAAAAAGAGTAAATGAAATATGAAATTTGAATTGCAGTTATAGTTTTATTTAAGAAAACCAGCATAAATAAATCAAGTTTTATTATTTTTACCTAATAAATCAAAAAATACTTCCAATCAAGCACTGTACTACTTTTATATAAAAATAATAAAAATAAAAGTATTCATCTTCAATTGTTCTATATTTTATACTTTGTTGTTGTCAACACTCATTACTAAAGTAATTGATTATGGCCTATAGGCTAAAATCAATTACTATAGTCATTTGAAAACAATTTATACCAATCGGGTTAGGTTATTTACAGCCTAGTCTGTAAAAAATCATTATTTTCTACTTTGGACCAGTAAAAAATTTGTTTTTTCTGTAAAATCTATCTAACCTTACTTTTAATAATTAAACGTTTAATGTATCGTTTAACAAATAAAATTGTGCCTTAAAGATAAAATGTTGTACCATTTATGTATGCCACAAACTATTTTAACGCACGATATATCTTTGGACGGGATTCACTTTTTTCCCGGTTACCGCTGGTACGAAACAGCAAACGTCATCCGCTGTATATGACGTCAGCCGGGATTGGCACGGATCTCGGAGCCGGGAGAATAGTCACAGCGTTAAAATATTCTTAAACATACTATTTTATAAATTGTTTACCTTTAATCCATGTTGTAACAAATACCTTACATATTCCAAACCAATACCAGTAGCTCCACCTGTAACCAGAGCCACCTTTTCGCCTATTTGAAAATCTGGCATTATTATCCGACAAAACTGACACTACTAAATAAGGGACTTCTAAACTAATTATTTATACCAATAGTGATTAGATAAAAATATATTTAGGGAAAAATAAAAAACAACATCTGTTATGGAAATGCTAAGCCCTTTAATTAATTTTTTGTCAATAATAATATTGTTGTTTATGCAAAACTGACATACACAATAATATACGCCATTTTAGTTTTATTAGGCACGTGCTGAAGCTTGCGAGCAAGTGTTTAATAAAAACGAGTGTCTAAAGAAGTTTATAAAACGAGTTGAAGTACAATTTTATTTGTTAAATATTTGATATCTGTTAATTTCAGCCCGTGACTAATATGCCCAAAAGCTACTATTGCTAACTTTAGCCTAAAGTCATAGCTTGTCAATGTAGGAGTAGATAATAGTAGTTTACATAACAACCCAGACAGCATCCAAATTGGTAAGATTTCTGTACGAAGTCTGTTAAAAAACATCTTACCGAGGTGACAATATGACATCTTAGAGAAATTTTGGGAGCTCAAGATTGAGAGCTCTTAATGAATTCTTAAATAAGAAGTCAATTTTTAACATCTTAAAGTATTTTTTTTATCTCTTATTGGAATCAAAATTAGAAGCTACTAAGGGTATCATAAATAAGACTTTAGTTATACAGTGGTAATAATGCACATTTAGGCCAAATTGTGACAAAGATGCATGCAATATAAAACGTACGAAAGAGTGAGATTAACAACCATCGACTGGTTAACAAACGTGATTCCCCTCCGTCATGAGCGTGCAGTAGAAAATTTTAAAACAATTAAATCAAAACGGTCTATTACACGCCAATGTTTTACTTCCCCTTCTTTAACTATCTGTGTTACCCGGCGGGCGGGTCCCGCCCACTCGACATGTTCGAGATTTGCCACTATTTAGTGTCAGTTTCATTACGACTGAGGTAGGGTGTAGTCGGTTGTTATAAAACAACGTAAATATTTTATTATGATTTTGTTTACAGAAACAAAAATTCCTTGCAAATATTTCTTAGGAAATGTGGAAAATAAACAATAATATTCTTGTAATAAAAAAACAAATATTCTCAAATAAAAAAGTATTCTAAAAAACGTAAAGAAAAAATAATTTAAAGCAAATGTTTAAATAGCTGCCCAAAAGCTGCCGAACAATACGTCAACCTGTTGTAAAAATTTTGACGGACATTTGACAGCATATTAGGGTTAATATTTATTAATGTATCAATAATTATTGATTATAATCATTGCTCTTAATTCATCAAGATTATTGGCCCTAAGATGCTGAAATCCATACATTTTTGACTTTGGTCTGACGCCGCTACAAGTTGTCTGCCCAAGGCAGAGTGCCCCACCACTCCTGGAGTGGTGGGGCACTCCACACTTTACACGTCTTATATGGGCATCTCTATTATTAGCGTCTTTGTCTACAAAGGGGACTACGCGTACATTACCACCACTGTATAATATCTTACAGTATTCCAGTGGCGGATCGTCAGGGTAGGCCTCTGAGGCCGCGCCTCACCCTTAAAATAAAGGAACGAACGACTTTTTGTATTTATATTTTTGCCTATTACAAGTGTATTTTTACAACAGTTCTACCCAATAAAAAGTAAAAAACCAATCAATCATATTAAGCGTAAATAAAAATCCAGGCGCAAAGCGCGTCAAGTTAACGTGCATCGTTGAGTCGCTTGGACAGAGGCGAAATTTTCACAGCCTCGGAAGCTCCCATTTACCTCCTAAAAGCGAAAATGACTCACCAACAAAAATATCGCCGTAAGTTCGCGAATAAACACCGTAGATGAGGCGAAATTTAGTTGGCTTGGTTTGTTCTGATTGGTGGTCCGTTTATGGTGGGATGCCAGCGGAGACAAAGAAGGTTGCCAGTCTTCTCTTAGCGTTTGTAGAGCACGTTATTGTTTTGATTCAGATTAAATTATTTAAAACTTTTGGCTGATCTTTTATAGTTTTTGTCTCGATTAGTAAAATTTCTTATTTAATTATTGCAGGGAACACACTAAGGTAGATTTAGCAGTTTTTATTAAGCAAATTTTATATTTTGAAATAATAGATTGCATAATTCTTCAATTAGAGACGCGGTTTGAAAATTTAGAATTACTTTTAAATCTCACTGCAGACCCACAATTTTACGACCAAATAATAGATAAATTTTCAATCTTAAAAGATAGACGTATAGTATTTTATATTTTTTAATACTTAGGTAGGGGTCGACTTTTTAGTTTTATTTTTATTTTTTGATTAATTTATTTATTTTTAACTTTTTTAAGACTATATTTAAGATTAAAACTAGTCTTTGATGTGATATTTTGTTTGTTTTGTTTTTTAGAGTTTATTTTTTGGTTTAGTAGTGCTATCGGCTCCATTTTAAAAAAGGTCAACGCGTCGCAGAATAATACCTCCCGGGTGACGTGGAAATTTATTCGTATTTAGACAAAATTAACCTTATGTAGCCTCACCCTCCTGTACACCCACGAGCCGCCACTGCAGTATTCTCTTTTCTTACTTCTTACTGAAATCATAGGTATGTATTTGAGCAGAAACCTGACCACACATTAGACCACGCCCACTGGACCACCGCTGTAAGTTACAGCCTGTAACTGATTTTGTTTGATTCAAGAAACGGCGAAGTAGAATTCAGAGCGTGATCCACGCCAAACGGCCTTAGGCCTAGGCAAGCGGCTACCCGATACTGAAGAGCTCCAAAAAAAGAGAAACAGGCCGTCTATCGGTGACAGTGAAGAGCAAGCTCAAATTTAAACAAAAGTGAGACGAAGTAATTGCAATTCCAATATTAAGCGAATATGACCAAATTATTAAAATGATTTTAATAAAATCCATTTAACAAATTCGTTTGTTCTATGGTAATTGAACTAGACATATCAAAATAACCAACGATCCAGTATGTAATTTTTTTATCAGTACCCTAATAAATATCCAAAACAGAAAATTTTAAATAAGACATATTTAAGTCTTTTTATAAGTTTAGTAAAACTCTTTAAAATTCTTAATTGCGAAGTCAAAGAAAAGGTTCCTCAAGAGTTCTTTTTTGAGTCTTGATTAGTTCGAAATCCTAAGAACTTCTTAAAAACTTATTTCTAATTGTATTTGACGTCCAAATTATAAAATGGAACTTATGCAGACTTAATCAAGACGTCATATTGCTGTCTGTATAGAGGAGGGAGAATGAGATTTAACGTGCGCGAATGGGGATACACTCATAGCCGCCATTTTTAACCACTTATACGAGGCGCGGTCAAAAATGTTATTATTTCTACACGTTTTAACAGCACAAGACATTTTACAGCACAGGAATTCTTACAATATAAAAACACAACCATATAACAGGTATACAAAAATTCAACTAAACCAAATATATCGGTTTAGAAAACACGTACCTATAAGTTATTATTCGCAGAAAAAAATGAGGATGTTTTTAGACCTCTAACCTCTAAAAGCAATGTGGTTACTTTAACAGTGTTGTCATGAAAGTTCACGACCAAAAATTACAAAATACCCGATTTTACTCTCAAGAGTAAAAAAATAGTTATCTATATTTATAAATCTTCTAGCGCAATCGCCCTATTTTGACAAATTAATTTAATTTTGTATTAATTTGTATGCAGTAAATATACAATATCATCTAGGTACTAAACATTTTTAAAGTTAGTATTTTGAGCGAAATTTTTAAAATACCCGCTGTAATATTTTACCCTCAAGCATGGCGAAAATACCCGATTTTCGGGTAAAATACCCGCAAACGGCAACACTGCTTATAAAACTAATAACAAACGACAGTTGCGTCATCTGTTATTTTTTTATAAGCTTGCCAATCAGAGATAGAGAAGTCTGTATTATCGACATATCGATGACTTTCTGCCAAAGTATCGCAAGCAACATAACTCAAATTTCGGGAATTGAAAACATTTTTTGTCTTAAAGTCTGTTTTAAATTAAATATAGCATAAAGGTTTTATAACAAGTAAATAGCTTATAATTATAGCTATTTACTTGTTATAAAACCTATAGGTTATATATGGTTTAAAAAAGACTTTAAAAAAATGTTTTCAATTCCCGAAATTTGAGTTAAGTTGCTTGCGATACTTTGGCAAAAAGTCATCGATATACTCCAAAAAGTCAGCAAAGAGCCTGTCGCTATAAAATTGGATGCGCAATGGTCCAAGCTCCTTCTCCCCCCTCTATATCTCTGGGTATACTTATAAGTAGCAATTTACGCACAAGCGGGAGAAGTAACGCAAGACTCCCACAAGTTCGTAATGCCTTACCACTACTTTATTCGACTTTATATATGAGGAGTGATTTTTCAAAAGGCCTTATTTCCATTTTTACTTGAATGTAATTTTTTGACAAAATCCCAAAGGTATGGTTAAAAGGCAACCAATCCCTTGTCTATGGGCATATGTATATTAACGGCGAAATATGACAGCAGGTCTGAAGTATTATTAAATATTTATCAGAATTTTTTTTTTAAATAATCTATATTGCCCTAACCTATACAGGTTATAGTCATTTTTTTGAAAAATTGTTGCAAATGGAAATACGACCTTTTGAAAAATCACTCCTCATATAACACAACGTTTTCAACCTTTTTTATATTTTTTTAAATATGACAGTTTTGACAAATATTTACTTAATTTTGTCACCATAATGTTAGTAATAAACCAAACAAACAAGCAAAAATTCCCTAGCAAAACTGTTACTGTAGCAACCACAACTTAATCGTATGAAATTCCCTAACTGCGATTTTTCGTATATAATATTAAAAATTTTATAGGTATAGGTATATACCACTAGTGGTAAAATTTTACCTATAAAATTTTTGATTTTTATACCAATGTTTTTTCTTGTGGCATTAATTTAAAACCTTAAAAAAATAATGCCACTTGCGAAATTTCCAAGGAAAAATCTTGAGTAAATAAAAATCAAATTTTTTTCGTAAGTAATATCATAAGGGCATCTAATTT